ACCGGTGAACCCATCGTGTCGCGTAGATTAAGGAGATCACCAACTTATCGATAATCAGATAGTTAATATTTGGCCCTTGTAGGGCTCGACTCATGAAGTAGACCGGGGGTTGTCTTACTTGCCTAGTAGGATTGACGAGATAGCATACTTTGATGCGGATAAGTAGACTTGCAGTGTCTCGCCTGGTATCGGGCTGGCTAGAATAGGGAGCGTGTGTAGTTCTTTTTTTTTTCTGCAACACAGATTCGGCCTCCGGCGTCCATCGGAAGTTGTTCTTCTCGATGCATCCCTTGAGTGTGTGAAATAGAGGCATGGCTTTCTCGGACGACTTAAAGATAAAACGATTGAGTGTTGTTAGTTTGCCAATCAACCCTTGGGTGTCCCTTAGTGTGCTTGGCGAGGGTGTGTCTTTTAGCTCATCAATTTTGATCGGGCTTGGCTGGATTCCTTCCCTCATCACATAGTATTCCAGGAATTTCCCGTCTTCTACCCAGAAGGTACACTTTGCGGGGTTTAGTTTCATCTTAGCTTTTTCCAAAGTGTGCAATGTTTTCTCCACGTCGCGCAACAGTCTTTGTTTGTTCGGGCTTTTGATGACCATGTCGTCGACATAAACTTCGGTGTTTCTGCCGATTGATTGGCAAATATGGAGTCGACCGGCTGCTGGTGGGTTACGCCGACGTTCTTTAATCCGAATGACATCTTTGTATAGGAGAAGACACCATGGTCTGTGTAATAGGCTATTTTCTCTTCGTCATCCTTGCTTATTAGGATTTTGTGATATTCTTTATATGAATCCAATAAACATTTCCACTGGAATCCTTGTAGGGAATCCACATTTTGGTCTATTTCTGGCAATGGGTAGCAGTCTTTGGGACATACTTTGTTGAGGTCCGAGTAATCGATACATATGTGTCAGCTACCATCGTGTTTCTTTACCATTACCGGGTTGGCGACCCATGTTGGAAAAATCGCTTCCCTGAGGATCTCAGCGCTGGTCAGCTTGGCCACTTCCGCATTGATTGCCTTGTTTCAATCTCCTCCCTGGACTTGTTTCTTTTGTTTTACTTCTTTGGCCCCTGGCTTTATCGTCATCTTATGTTCTATAACTCCTCGCTCGACCCCCACCATGTATGTGGGTATCCACGCGAACATGTGTTTGTAATTTTGCAACAGTTAGCTTGCCTCACTATTGTGGGGAGGGTGTTTCCCACACTGATTTGTTAGCTTAGGTACTCCATGTTGATTATTTCCCCTCCGCTTGATCCTGCTTCGGCCTCTTGGCTTCAGTTGAAATATCATTTAGTTGCATGATCTCGTAGCATCTGAGTTCCCTTTGGGGAGTGGCTAGGATCGTCCCTCGGCCTTGGCTCGTACTAAACTTTACTATTCCATGAATCGTTGATGTGATTGGTCCAAATTTTAGCAGGGCGATTCATCCTAGCATGACGTTGTGCTCGTACAGGTGTCTTATGACCACAAAATCCACAAGGGCGGTCCATCAGTTGGTCTTGTCTTGACTAGTAAGTGTGAATGGTAAATGTATTGTACCTAAGGGCCACAGGTTGTGCCCTCTGAATCTTGTAAGCTGGCCTGTGGTTGGTCTTAGTCCTTCCTTCCATGTGTCAGACAGCAACCGGTAGCATTGCTCGTAGATAATGTCTGTGAAACTCCTCGTGTCGACGTATACCTTGTGGATCATGATATCCCGAATGGACCCCTGGATGACAAGGGGGTTATCCCCTTTCCATCTGGTTGGGCTTGGGTTAGTCGTGGAGAAAGTTAGCCTTTGCATGGTTTCCTTGATGCTCCACACGCTGGTTGTGCATTCCACTCTCCCCCACTTGTGGTGAATCACGAGGATTTCTTGTTGATAGTTTGTACCGCCTATGTTGTCCTTGGTGAATCTAGTGAAGTAGTCCTTGACTGTCTCCCCCTCCCTTTGCTTGCACCCGATGGTGGAGTGATAATCGCCTTTGTACTTCCGAAGTTGCATGAAGTTGGTTAAAAAGTGATATTTCAGCTTGCTGAAGTTGTAGATGCTACCTGGGCATAGAGTTTTGAACCATGTCCATGCATTGCCGTCTAGGGTGGTTCGGAAATGTGTTTACCATAAGCGTTCGTCTATATTGAGGGACGTCATCGTCCATTCGTATGTGTCGATGTGGTTGTCCGGGTCTATGGTACCATCGTATGTTTTGAGGTGAGGTAGTGTAGCGGTGTTAGGGATCTCATATTCCAGTAACTCCTTTACAAATGATGATGTAACACTGCGTGAAAGGCAGTCTTGTTTTGGTGTCCGTTGGGCAAAATGGTATCCTAGTTGTTGCATTTCCAGGAATGGTTGTACCATCATGTTATTGTAGGTTGTGAGGTCTGGTGTTGTTGGGCCGAAGAAATTATAAGGCTAGAAGGGGGTGGGAAATGTGTGGGCCACGGGGTTTTGCTGGTAGGGCATGAATGGTGGTGCCGGCATGGCTCCTGTCACTAACGGTGGGTGGTTTTGTGCTTGAAAAACGATGCTTGGGTCGTTAACGGCGTTATTTGTCGGCTCTGTTAGCGAGGGCATCCTGATTGTTGGTGGTGATAAGAAACTATAATTGACATTGTTTAATCCGCTGGCGTTGGTAAAAAACAGTGGTATATAAGGTGAGATGGGCGGATTGGGTCCGACGTTGTTGGGGAACAGCGGTGGAGTTATGTTATTCAGTATGGGTATTGGTATGTGTGTTGTGACGGAAGGCGTAACTGTTGCAAGAGAAGTTGACGGGACAACGGATAATGGTACCTCAAAAACCACGTCGGTCATCTGAGGTGGCAGTGTTATTGGGGTGTTGGTCGTTTCTAGGGAGCCATTGGGCATATCGGGGTATGCGGTGTTTCCAATGGTTCGTCGGCGGCCTCGTCCGCCTTTTGTGGTTGGGTTAAAGGTGAAAAGGGAAAAACAAAGGGTTTGCGTATTTGTTGTCACACAAACGGACAACACCAAATGATGTGACCTAGCTTCCGACCACCTAGAGGTTATGGGCAGCGATTGTTGATAGAAACATGTGAGGTCACAGAGAGAGAAAACCATCAGCCACCCTCCGGGAGGAGGCCCAAAAAAAACGCTCTAACTGTCAAGTTAGTAAGGTGTTTAAGAGTGAGGGTTGAGAATCGGGAGAGATAGCTTACCCATCAAGGCAGGGCGATAGTCCTTTTATACTGAGGATCTTCTTCGATCCATACGAGGGACAAGGACCATGATAACGTGCCCTAGCCAACACGAAAGAGTCGCGCCCAGCTCAAAAGGCTGGCGCGCTCGGCAGACCAGACCCGGAGGGTGATGTGTGTGAAACGAACTAGTTTTAATCCTACTAACTTAATCACAAAGATGAACACACGAAAGGCAGTGTACCTATCGATTAGTATTTTAGTTCAGGTAAGTAGGGTATCGAACACAGGGAACGGTAAACAATTATAATATATGCTAATGTTATCTAAATAAAACAAATAATAGAAAGGGGGTTTTCTCTAGTTTTTCAGACTAGAAACTTAAACAATTAACTAAAACTTAAACTAAGAAACTAAGAGCTAAGCAAATAAAGATCAACTAAATTCAATGATAAAGAGGACTTCTGTTTAGGTTCGAATCATTTGTTCCCATGGATGATTTTATGGTAAATATATCGAATTAATTCTTCATTGGTTACCGACTAAAGTGATTAGATTCACATTCACTATAGCTAATCCTTAGAAAACAGATTAATTCAAGCAATGGCCAGTTGTCTAAATTAATGAATTTCCTAGTTTGTTGATTCGGGTTTAGAAAGAATTGTAATTAGCTAATCAAATTGTTTATTCAATTAACCTCTTGTTGATGGTGTATCACACAAGCTCACACATTAACTTACCTATCTTCTAGTTAATTCTAGTTTCACATTTGTTATTCACTACTAGAAAAACAGCCTTTTACGACGCTCATTGCGCGTCATAAAAGGCTTAGACGACGCGCAAATGCGCGTCAAGGAAGGCCCTGTCATAAAGAGAGACGACGCGCTTTTGAGCGTCGTCTATAGACGACGCGCATTTACGACGCTCATTTACGACGCGCAATGACGACGCGCCTTTAAGACACGCAATGCGTATCAAGGAAGGCCATGTCATAAAGGAAGACGACACGCATTCGTGTGTCGTAACCTTACGACACGCATGTTAATGACACGCAATGCGTATCAAGAAAGTCCCTGTCAAGAAAGTCCATGTCATAAATGAAGACGACAAACATTTTTGCGTATCATAATTTTAAATGTTTTAAAAAAATATTATTTATAGATTTACTAATTTTCAAATTAAATAATACATTAAAAATCTCATAATACAAAATAAAATACCATAAATAACAAAGATAATTCATTTCACTAATATGTCAAATACAAATAATTATTCCAAAAGTGAATAAATGTTTTTAAAAAAATGAACTCATTTATATACAATTGTATCATCTAGCTTACTATGTGCCAACAACTCTCTATGTGTTTACTTTTTCTTGAATCTCGTTTCCTCCAAAGCTTCTAGCCATGCCAAAATATGATATCTTGAGTCTCGTTTCAAGAACCAAAATCACCTTCAATCACCCAATTAAACTCTAATGTTGGTAGACTGAGAGTTCCAGAATCAAGTTTACATCCATCACCTTCAATCACCCATTTAAACTCTAGATCTTCTGTTGTTTGAAGGAAATTGGTGTTTGTAATCTATGAACAAAAAACGCAAAGACCAAGGTTAACATTTGGTGAACGAAATTTTAATTGGTTGATAGCAATACTTGACCTCTGAAAACAAATAAACAAAGGATCACATCATCCTTACCTCAATGGTTTAAGCTACCAAATTACCTTTGAGAACCAACAGGTGAAAACACTATGTGACCGGCTGCTCTTGTTGTTCATATTTATTCCTGCCACTTTTATATTTGCAGCACCCTGATAAAGCATGAAAACTAATTTTAAATCCAATATAATCATAAATAAGAAGTAACAAAGTGTAAAGGGGACCGATTGTACAATGTTATTAAGAGGTTTTATCTAACTATATATAACCTAAAATGTGTTATATTGTTATATTTATCTTACATAGTCCATGATTCCTATTGAATAACTTGACTTGTTATTGTATTAGTAAATTTATCACTCATTATAGCTTCCAAAACTTAGAATTTGCAAAGTTGTATTGTTGTGTATATCAAATACGTAAGAAACTATATCATTATTTATAACTATATGCAGTAGAAACCATCATCTAATAGGCAACATTGAACATAAATATATTACCAAAAGGAGGGCCCTTAGTGCAGCAGCAAAGGCATGGTTAACTAATCCAGACTTGAACTGTTATCTTGATTCCACAAATTGATTGATAATCAAATAGCTCTTGCATAAAGGGAATATTCTTTTCGATGATTCCTGCATTTTCTTGCAACATTTATTTCCCAAAAGTGAAAAGAGTTCCATGAAGTTATAGATACATACATATGTGCATCTATGTATGTATAATTGTATATGTGAAGATTCTTAACCTGGAGTGCCAAATCCATAGATCCGTCAACATTGAAGATAATAGAGTTATCATTCCCTCCAACTCTATTGATAGAAATATATGGTCCCTCAATTCCAACTAAAGCAGATAGAAGATCATCAATTACAGTCAGTTCCTGCATGTGTTGAAACATTATCACAAAATCTTCGCTTATCATTACTTTAAAATGATATTCTATAGTAACTTGTTTCTAGGTTTCAAAATTGACACTAGTTTAAAAGGCCAATAATTGCACAAGGAAGCATAAAAACAATTGTAGCTATACCTGAACAGAAGCATTGTAGCAACCTATCGGCTTCTCAGATTCCAATCTATACAAAACATACCACCAGACCTAGAAGGCTGACCTGGCACATAAGCACTGATTGAAATGAAATCTTTTTGTGCAACACATTCATACGCATTGATTATTGGATACCTGTTGATAAGATTAAGAGGAGAAAAGTTTTACTTGCCTCTTCACGTGCATACTGATCTGCCTAAGAGGTAGAGGAAGGGTCTGCATTATATTGATGTTGATATTCATTTTCCCAATCCCCATTTACATGCCTGGCCTCGTTATTATTTGCCAAACCAAATAAATAATATCCTGATTATAAAAAAATAAATAAAAAAAGACAATTTTAATTCAAAGTAAGTAAAGTAACCTGAAACTTTGGATTGGTGTTCTGAGCTAAATGTGTGCTAGCATTCGAGTCTGCTCCATAGCAGCCAAAGATGGAATGTTTGCACCTGCCATTCGGTCCACAGATGTCATCTGCGTTTTCTCCTGAAATCAAGAACATAATAATTAATAGTAAGTAAACATTCAATTATTATTTTAATTATTAAAGCGAAAGAGCTCACTGACATGCTAGAATTCAGATGCCCACATGAATCCTTTCCCAATTTTCTTCAACTGATTTATAGATGGGAACCTCATGATTGTGTGGACAAAGAGTTATCACTGCAGGCATGAGGCAACAAAGTCACTATTACAATCCTGCATAATAGGTGTGAGTAGAGAATAAAAGAAAAACATGTTGTGGCCATGTTATCATAAAAGTCTGATTACCAGGATGTTATGGTTTTTCAGGTATTTTTTATTTAAAATAATTTACTTACAGAAAGAGATGAATGTGAATATGAATAAATATTAGTATTTGTGTTCTGTTTGTTAGTTTCAGTCTACAACATATGTATACCTTTTGTGCTTCACTATCCACCCAGGCAAATGTGAGTCTTTTTTCCTTCAATGCTGACATGGCAGCTTGGTGTTGGTCAATTTGATTTACATTTTCACCAGCTGATAGTATCTCTTGGACCCTACGCATGTCTTTAACATTATAATATATATAATATTGTTCTTTAAAGAAAAGAAATAAAAGACTATTGTTTTATGAATTAAGATAAGAATCTTACTTAACGCATTTTAGGGAGTCTGTGGTTTGTCTTCCAATAAGAACAGCAAAATACCAAACTGTGGTGTTATTTCCAGCATGTGAATAGCCTTTTGGATCACAACCAAGCTCCATAGATGTAACACGTCTTAATTGGGGAAGCATTACTGAAAAAATAAATAATTAAATATCATATTAGGTGTGAAAAATGACAAAAATGATTTATGCATCTTCATGTTTATTTTGTTCCATGACATCAATAAGTCTTGAATTGTTGATTGAGCCATGGTAGACTACAGGTTTGACGTCGGGGTCTCTTAGAATAACAATGATAGGAGCTTCTTCCACACCAAATTGAAATTATTATTATATATAATTTAAATTAATCACTAATTTAAACCATTGTTAAGGAGAGAGTTTATGGAAATTACCAAAGCGTCCCTAGAGTAGTAGAAATACGAGGTAAGCTTAGTATGGTTTTTATTTTTTAATAACAATAATATGGTTATTAACTTATTATTATTATCCGCATAAAGTAAACTCACCTCACAATGCAATCTGAGGATTTACAGCCAGGTGGAAGAGCCAAAAGTGAAGGAACACCTGTATCGTATCAATAACTTGGAGAATGATTAAATCATCCAATATTTTAATAAAAAAATAACTTGGGTATTATTATTTAATTATTACCAACCATTTCGATAGAAATGGGCTCCTGTATAGTTCTTCTTAGATAAATATGTCGCAAGCTTAAGATCACTAAAAATATTATTAAACTTGAAGTTTAGAAGTTTACAACCAAAACATGAAAACAAAAAGAATTGAAGAGAAAAAAATGATGATTTATGATTCAAAGTTGCAGACATGCATGTATATCTTGATTATTTCACTACAACACTGCAAGTCAACTGATATATTGACTAAAGATAGTCCAATCTCATTAGAGCAGATTCTTGTCTCTTCCAATCAAATCTTTGAGCTACGATTCTTTAGTCCAGGTAGTTCCAGTAACCTATATCTTGGTATATGGTTCAAAAACGTCACTCCAAAAAAATTTATATGGATTGCAATCAGAAAAAATCCACTCTCGGTTTCTGACACTAATTCGACCCTAACAATTGACAACAATGGGAATCTCATCAGCATTTCCATTATATAAATTAACAAATTGTTAAGAAAACAAATGGCTCAAAAAGTTAAAAAAATCACTTTTTTAAATTACCCATATCGGTTTTGTCTCATTGGCCAATTCCCAATCCCAGTAATCTTCAGTTTTTGTTTTCTTCTTCTTCTCACCCTGGAAAACAAGCATTACTTTTTTTATAAATAAATCATACAAAAGCACTGTAATTTGATGATCAACACTTTTCATTCTATCTGTGTATCTGAAAGACATTATAATCCCATGAGTTTAAAATATCATAATATATGAAAAAACAAATGCATAAGTTATAATACAAAATAAGAGTATAAGACAAACTATTTTTCACTTAATCCATAAAGAAGTTGATATAGAAAGTCAGGAAAATGAGGCTTTCCCTACTAAGTCCAACTTCTTAGTTCTTACAAATTTGCCCTGATTCAATTGTTCTGTTTTTGAGAAAAAATAAGTTTATTAAATGTTATTGAGTTAATAACTGCGTTGCAATAAATTATGGTTTATATACCTATATATGAGCCGAAGAAAGCAATGACCAGCTGCACCATTTGCACCTACAGAGAAGAAAGGAACCTGAAGCTCAACATCGATGTGATCAGCTCCTAGCTCCATTGCTAAACACAGAGCATCCAATCGACTCTTTTCATCCCTATTGTATTGACCACCTTCCCATGTTGTTCTAGAAACTAACATAGAATCAGAAACCTTTTGAGGAAGATAAACTGTTAGAAGATCATTTAAGATGAAGGCTATTCTTATGATCTATGATAGAAAAAAAAAAGAATTTCCTTTATCTTGAAGAAAGGTTCCAACTTGTGTTTGAATGCTACCTACTGCATAAAACAAGTGACTTTTGGAATGAACTAGCGTTTCCTGCTCAAACAGACAAACAAAATTACATCATATTAGCCCTATAAACATCATACATACACATATACTAGCTAGAGTACTTGTGTCTCTAGATTGAATGTATACTCATCTCCAAAATAGCTGACTGCAGGTGGTAATTCTGAATTTGAATCCTTACAACATGAGATGAATTAGTGATTACAATTCTTGCTTCCAACATCTACAACCTGAAAAGAAATATATATCATTATCATGACATAACTCAACAGTTGAGAGAAACATGGAATGGGCAGAAGGTCTTCTTTAGCACAATACACCCGGTGAAGCTCTTCTTTAGCACCAGCATCACTTGTCCCCATAAACGGCCACTTGCTTCTTCTTGAACGTGATTGAGCAGCTTGCTCAACTGCAACTTCCATTTGCTTAATTTGCCCATGTAATCACCACATTGCTAAATCCCCTACACAACAAACCAAACAAAACAAAAATCAACATCAAATATTAATTAGAAAAAACAAATACAAAAAAAGTCGAAAATACCCTTTAGGTTAACAAGAGAGGTTGTCATTCCAAAAACAGATGGAGAAGAAAAGAACAGTTTGCGTACCTGATTTAGGGAATAAAAGAATCTTTAAAAAAGGAATGTAAGAGAAAGAAATCTAGGGCACATACATTAAGAAGAAGATAACAACTTTCGAACCTGATGCCTCCTCCGTTTTTTTTTTCTGCATTCTGATGCTTCCGATCGTACCTTGAACCTCTGACTTTCGATCCCAAATCCGACTTGCAACCTTCGATTTCTGATCTTCAACCTGTAATTCGAGTCATAGTTCCGAATCTCATAAAATTAACCTTGCTACCTCCTATTTCTGATGAAAGAGGAGTCTCAAATCTGAGAGAAAAATGAGGAGTCGCTGGCTCAAATTAGAAACCCTAAAAGATGGATGACATAGGGAAAATCAGAAAGGTATGAACATACCATTCGATAACCAGAAAATGGACTGAGAGGAGGGGGCTGTTAGGGCTAGAAACTAGCTTCCAATCTCCTTTATCAACATCATATCGATAAAGATCGCCAAAAACATATGTCTGTGTAATATATCAACCTTTTTCAAAGTAAATTCAAGCATAATTTCAGAGAAGGTCACATGAATTCATCTATAAGACATAATGTCCAATTGTTGATATCTTCCATCCCTAAAGTCACCAGCATGGAGTCTTTTTTTCTTTGGAACCATCGTTGTTGCCTCATAACTTCGGAGATGGCGTACCTACTGTTGCCTTGATCGACGTTGACGACCGGGAATGGTACCTAACGATGGTCGAAGTGTGAGGGAAGAAGAAGGTGGCAGTCAATGTCGAGAGGGGGAAGGAAGGAGCCGATAATTAGGGCAAGAAGGAAAAAAGAAAATTGGAAGGCGGGGTTTTTAATTTTTTAGGATTTCATTTCCCCCTAATTATTAAAGGATGGAACGCGCCTTGTATTAAAATTTATAAAGCGACACTCTTAGACGACACGCGTTTTATTATAAGTGCCCTCCGTGTTTTTTTTGTTATTATTTAGACACTAATTTAAAGGCACGTAGTAATGCGCGACATAAATCCTTCAATTTTTTGAAGAGATGACAATTTTTTAATGTCACTCCCTTTTGCGTAACATAAATCAATGAGTGTCGTGGTTTGCGCGTCGTAAAAGGGTATTTTTCTTGTAGTGATTCCTAGACATACAACTATGTGGTCACGTAAATCATATGAAATTAGCAACTAAGAGATGTTCATACAACTTAATTACTGATTTATTAATAGAAGAATAGTTATTGTTAACACATAAGGTTCTTTAACAAGCTTAATAAAACATAATTACCAATCAAAATTAATCCTACTCAAATAATCAATCCATATTCACAAAATTGTCTACCCTAACAGAAGAATAAGTTTTTAGCTCATGATTGCAGTAAACATAAACTCAAAAACGAAATCAAAGTATGTAAACATGATTCAAATCAAAAAGTTACTAAGAATAAACCAAAATTGTCTTGATTCTCTTCACAATTGAATGTAGGGTTGATTCTTCAGTTCCTCATGACCTAGCAGCACTTCCAATCGTTTCTCAGCTTCCTAGGGTTTCTCTCCACAAAACAGGGGCTACTCGGCGAGTCCAGTGACCTACTTGCTGAGTACATCACTTAAAACCCGTGTACGGCAAGTCAGCGCGTCTAGAATCGCGAAAGTTCGATACAACTCACCGAGTAATCGACCCTACTCGCCGAGTACGTTTCGAATCAGCATTTTCTCAAAACATGAAAGTCGTCCGAAATTGTGTCTACTTTTCATAACATTTTGAATCTCGTCAATCGGAGTTACGGTTCATGAGATACGGCCAAAACACTGAAGAGGGGTCAAGCTGTCCAGCAACGTCCTTCTTTCTTCAAAATCCAAGATCCAAGCGTCCAATCGCCAATTCCGCTTCACTTTCCTTTCGATCATGTCATTTTTGCTGAAAAATAAAATTATAAACTAATTAAGCACCTTTTGTTCATTAAAAGAGACAAAAACAACATAAAGTATTAAGATAATGCATGAATTTTATAACTAAATATGCCCATATCAAAATACCCCACACTTGACTTTTGCTTGCCCCCAAGCAAAACTGAATTTTAACACATTAGAATCACATAAGACAACTCCAGTCGAACCCATCCATTATGCCAAGACCGCAACGCATGCATTTGTGTCTAAAATTTTCCTAATAACCCCCTATACTCCAAATACTCACAATCCTCATAAACATTCGCCCACTTTTTCTGAACAATGCTCATTTTATGCATCCCTCCAAATCCATCCTCAGAATACCTCTTAACCTCAAGGTATTTTTGGTTGAGCAACCCAAACATACATAATCTAGAGAATTACAATTTATGATACCACATTGAAGCTCTTTGGAATTCTTCACTTCTTTGACATTTGATCTTTAATTTCCTTGAATTCAACACCTTGTTGTTTGATTTTTGGTATCTTCAACTTTTTGAATTCAGAACTTTGATCTTTTGATCTTTACTTTAACTGCTCCGAAATTCCTACAACTTTTCTTGTAATTCACTCTTTTGTTTTTTTACATGTACCTTACTTTTTCCACTCAAAACCCTACATGCTTAAGCAGGGGCGCTCAACTTTAACCTTTATTGGTTAAAGATAAAATTTTCCTGGATACATTTCTGGTACACGATGCTAAACCTATTGCATCCTTCAAACTAAGTGAGGTCGTGTTTTTGTCCCATGATTTCACTGGAATAAGGAAGCCACAAATGCACTAGAACGTATATAGGCTCAATTAAACATTTGGGTTTTCATGCAATCATCAAATATAATACTAGCATGATCCCTAATTTCTTTACCAAAATTTTCTAAATTAATCCTAGCAAATGTTATGCAAAACTTTAAAAATTAACTAGTGTAACCAACCAACCCCCAAAACTTGATGTGTGTAAAACCAACTAGTTTTAATCCTACTAACTTAAACACAAAGACAAACACATGAAAGGCAGTGTACCTATCGATTAGCAGTTTAGTTCAGGTAAGTAGGGTATCGAACACAGGGAACGGTAAACAATTAAAATAGATGCTAATATTATCTAAATAAAACAAGTAATAGAAAGTGTTTTCTCTAGTTTTGCAAGACTAGAAACTTAAACAATTAACTAAAACTTAAACTAAGAAACTAAGAGCTAAGCAAATAAAAATCAACTAAATTCAATAATAAAGAGGACTTCTGTTTAGGTTCGACTCATTTGTTCTCATGGATGATTTCGATGTATCGGATTAATTCTTCATTAGCTACCGACTAAGATGATTAGTTCCACGTTCGCTATTACTAATCCTTAGGAAACAAATTAACTCAAGCAGTGGCCAGTTGTCTAAATCAACGGATTTCCTAGTTATTGATTCGGGTTAAATAAGACTTGTAATAGTTAATCAAATTGGTGATTCAATTAACCTCTTGTTGATGGTGTATCACACAAGCTCACACATTAACTTACCTATCTTCTAGTTAATTCTAGTTTCACATTCGTTATTCCTAGACATACAACTATGTGGTCACGTAAATCATATGAAATTAGCAACCAAGAGATGTTCATACAACTTAATTATTGATTTATTAATAGAAAAATAGTTATTGTTAACACATAAGGTTCTTTAACAAGCTTAATAAAACATAATTACCAATCAAAATTAATCCTACTCAAATAATCAATCCATATTCACAAAATTGTCTACCCTAACAGAAGAATAAGTGTTTAGCTCATGATTGCAGTAAACATAAACTCAAAAACAAAATCAAAGTATGTAAACATGATTCAAATCAAAAAGTTACTAAGAATAAACCAAAATTGTCTTGATTCTCTTCACAATTGAATGTAGGGTTGATTCTTCAGTTCCTCACGACCTAGCAGCACTTCCAATCGTTTCTCAGCCTCCTAGGGTTTCTCTCCACAAAACAGGGGCTACTCGGCGAGTCCAGTGACCTACTTGCCGAGTACATCACTTAAAACCCGTGTATGGCAAGTCAGCGCGTCTAGAATCGCGAAATTTCGATACAACTCGCCGAGTAATCGACCCTAATCGCCGAGTACGTTTCGAATCAGCATTTTCTCAAAACATGAAATTCGTCCGAAAGTGTGTCTACTTTTCATAACATTTTGAATCTCGTCAATCGGAGTTACGGTTCATGAGATATGGACAAAACACTGACGAGGGGTCAAGATGTCCAGCAACGTCCTTCCTTCTTCAAAATCCAAGATCCAAGCGTCCAATCGCCAATTCCGCTTCACTTTCCTTTCGAGCATGTCATTTTTGCTGAAAAATGAAATTATAAACTAATTAAGCACCTTTTGTTCATTAAAAGAGACAAAAACAACATAAAGTATTAAGATAATGCATGAATTTTATAACTAAATATGCCCATATCAGAGGGCTTAGCGCCCGCCAACGCCCCTAAGGGTAGGGCACTCTAGCAAAAGGATAAACGCCCGCCAGAGGTGTCCTTGCAAGAGGATAGCGCCCGCCAAGGGCGCCCTCATCTCCAAGATAAATGATATGGTCAGACGACAAAGAAAGGGATCAGAGCATTACCGGCAGGACCAATGACATCGCTCTAACAGATAAAGGAGCACTATCTTCTAATCAGCGCCCCAAATCCTGTCGGCCCAGGCGATCGTGGATTGTATGGACGAACAGAATCAATGAGTATAAAAGGGAATGCTTACGACCCTGACAAGTAAGTCGTCTTCCCTAAGCAACACCAAAATAAACTCACAAAACCCTACTGACTTGACCGTCGGAGTGTCTTTCCGGGAGCCTCCTCCCGGAAACGGCTGACGGACTCCTTTCTCTGTGATCTTGTAGGAGCAACTCATGAATTATCGCCAGAATCTACTGACAATGAGAGCAAGGTTGCATCATTTGGCGCCATCCATTTGTGTGATAAAGAACAAAATCAAAAGCACACAGTTCAACGACAACAATGGCGTCTGACGGCACCGGAGGAACCAATAGGACACCAGCTAGCCCTATTTGATCAATGACGTCGTTGGACGAAACACTGCCGCCTATAACGACAAACAGAGAAGTCCCGAACGAAGGTGGTTCAACAGTAACAGTCGAACCACCAAGTGGTCAACAACAACCAAATCCCAGTGGACAGTTTCCGCTAGCAACCGCAACAATGACACTCCCACCCCAACCATCGCTTGTGTCATCAGGGGCGAACACTTATACCACAACATCGACATTGCTTAGCAACAGACGCCAGATTAGATGATGATGCCACTAGTCACATTCCTCCAAACGTCGCCATTAGGCTAACAACATCGGCAAAACCTGCAATATCCTAAATGCCACCATTTTTCAACCCGATAATGCAGGGACAACCGCCAATCCCTCAGATGATATTGCCATTTAACCAAGCCACGAGTGCTTAGCCGTTACTCTAAGCACCACCAATAAACCAAGCACCAATAGGCACACAACCAACAATCTCCCTGCCACCGTTGGCTAAAGTCATGGAAAACCAATCACATGTTTTCTTCTCTTCGTCGTGTATGACGGGCGAACCCGTTGCTACCACAAATGCCCATTTCCAAAAAACCACCATGAATAACCTTCAAGCCCAAAGCCAACCCATATCCTCCAGTCATTTACTTCAACTTCCATTCTAGCAACAAGCGTTCTACAGTCCAAATCTTGGCTATCATGCATCCTACAGTAACCCAAGTGCGCAGCCGTACAACACATTTCACCCATACAACATACACGGAGGTCGGATGCCATGAGCAAATTGGCATCAACATGCTTCGACCACTTGTCCAATAAGGTCCTAATCGAAGTAGTCAAGGAGAGAAGCAGAGACGAACGACAAGTGAATGCCTTAACAGTGACTAGACACACGTGGATGACCCCGCTGATCGAATACCTATAACAAGGCATTTTTACAGACAACAGTGGAGAAGCTAGAAAGATACACATAAAGGCGCCCTCATACGCACTTGTGAACGGGGAACAGTATCGGAAAGGGTTCACAACGCCTTGGTTAAGGTGTGTAGACGAAACCAGGGGAAGAGAAGAACTCCGAGATGCGTATGCTGGCCAGGCAGGTGCACACGAGGGGGCAGACACTCTAACAGGAAAAGTGCTCCGCATGGGAATTTATTGGCCTACCACGCACCAAGACACGGTGGAACTAACAAAGAAGTGCATGAATGCCAAGCGTATTCCCCGGTCCAAGGAAACCCCACAGTTCCCCTGGACAACATATCCATCCCATGTCCATTCTATCAATGGGGGGATATATATTGTGGGAGCATTCCCAGAGGCCCCAGGGAAATAAAGTATATGGTGGTCGGGTGGACTACTTCACGAAATGGATCGAGGCTGAGCCATTAGCATGCATATCAGGAAGACAGATGATCAAATTCATAATGAAAAACATACTGACTAGATTCGGAATGCCTAAGACACTCATCAGTGATAACGGGCTGTAGTTCGCCGAATATCCATTTAGAGATTGGTGTGCTAATAAAGGGATCACTCAGCGGCTCACGTCCGTAGCACACCCCCTGTCGAATGGGTAAACAAAAGTATCCAATCGGACGATCGTAAACAGAATCAAGAAATGAATGGGGAAGGCTAAAGGAAACTGGGCCGAGGAACTACCAACAGTGCTATAGTCGTATCGGACGACGCCAAGAACAGGCAAGAAAGAATCCCCGTTCAGCCTGACATACGGAGCGGAGGCAATGCTCCCGGTAGAATTGCCAATAGGCACCTTGAGGAAAATCCATGCCGAGGAGGAAACTAACTCCCAATACTTGAGGCTAAGTATAGACCTCCTCGAAGAACGGCGAGAACGGTCAAGTGTACGGCATGCCGCATAGAACCACGTTGTGGAGAAGTACTACAAACAAAGGGTCAAGGAAAAAGCCTTCAAAGTAGGAGATTATGTGCTAAGGCAGAGTGAGGCAAGTCGAGCCCAACCACAAGGAAAATTAGGTCCCGTATGGGAAGGGCCATATAAGATCATTGAGGCAAATCGTAGTGGAGCATACGCGCTGGAAACAATAGAAGGGAGAGGAATCCTAAGGATGTGGAACGCAAGGAACCTAATGAAAATTTACTTCTGACAAGCCCCACCAGGTCGGATGAGCAATATCAAGGGGTTGAAATGCCCAGACAAGCAGCTTTGCTTAGCGCTTAAGATAGCAAGTCCAGATTCCTCCACATAACATGTCAAGGGCAAATTATATAATTGTAGTGCTTGGTGTAATACTTAGCGTATTAAAGAGCAAACTCCCCAGGCTTAAATACTTAGTGTACTAAGCGCATGCTCAGTATATTGACGCTTAAATACTTAGTGTATTAAGCACATTCTTAGTGTATTGATGATTAAATACTTAGTGTATTAAGCGCAAAACTCTCATACTTAGTGTATTGATGATTAAATACTTAGTGTATTAAACGCGGCAACCCTCATACTCAATGTATTGAGGTTGAATACTTAGAGTATTAAACACAAAATTCTCATACTTAGTGTATTAACGATTAATACTTAGTGTATTAAACGCAAAAAATCTCATACTCGATGTATTAATGCTTAGTACATTAAGCGCGAAACTCCCGTACTCAGTGTACCAACCTCGAATCGACATACAGAACACTAAGGGGATGCTCCCATTCACAAAATTAGCATACTAAACTAAGGGCGCTTAGAGCAATACAAAAACAAAATCAACAAATCCAATGTACATTAAACAAGCATACCCAGTGCAACACAACCTAAGGGCCAAAACAACAATACAAAAACAAAAAAAGGGCCAACAAAACCAAACCCACGAATTGTCTAGTCAAAAAACAAGAGACAAGTAAATAAAAAAATTTCACACCCCAGAAGCGGTAACACATGGTGCATGAGCACCTTTACCAACATCGACAACAAGTCCACCAACATGTTCAACATCTTCCTCAACCCCACCAGCAGGATTACCACCACCACCGCTGCCAACACCACCAATTCCAGCATCCCCACTGCCAATACCACCGCTACCAACATCTTCGCTGCCAACATCACCGCCAACCCCCTTAACAACATTACTAATACACCCGCCACCGCTAGCACCTCCATCATCATCACCAACTAAATCATCAACATTACCTCCAACACCAAGATCATCTACAACATCGAATATCATACTCTTAGGAGTACCTTCAGAACCTGTGAAAGCACAAAGCTCCCGGACCCCTTGGATATCCAAATCCCCCAATCCTTGTAAAGATGCATCGTCCATACTAGAAAACGCAAGTAAGGCCTCATTTACACTCACAATGTGGCTAGGATGGGGGATGCCAACACAAGGATTAACAGAATCATAACCCACTCCAGAAACCAAGGAATTGCGACCGGATTCCGCCCCATTAACGAAAGCAGAATGATAGATGAGACTCACATCACTTGTAAAGTCTGGGTGTTCAATCAACTTGTCCATAATTTGCACCAGACCCACGCGCAATAGCCAGTCCAGATCACGCTAGGTATCTTTAGCACCTTCTTGAACAACGACAATCAATCTGTCATGATTAGCAACATCGCGCTCCAGACTCTCAACCTGAATCATCAATCCTTCATTCACTTGAGTAAGGGAATCCACCTTCGACTCCATGGTAGACCTGATTTCCTCCGTAACAGCCTTCTCAGCAGCAAGCAACTAGCACTTCTACTTCATACCTTGCATGTCACTACCAAGCTCAGATACTTGGCGCTTTAACCCAGCTTCACGAGAATCACATCCTGCATGAGCAGTCTCCATTTCGCTGAGAAGATGAATACGTCGAGCACCTGCAACAAGGTAAAACATTTCCTGCACAACGGCATAAGACATGTTATGAGAAAGAGCGGAGCTGCCCATGGCCTCCATGTCAGCAACTACAACGGGAGGAAATGCGTGCCGAGCAAACTCCATTGCGTTTGTACGCACAGAAAGGTGGGATTCTTTGTTGAGACTCCAAGGAGGAACAAAAGTGGAAGGCCCAGAAGAACCCCCGTCAGTGCCTCCAGGAGGAGTTGAGGCCCGCTCCACACTACCAAAATCTTTGAGTGAAGGAGAGTTTGAAGGAACTTGAGAAATAGCTTGAACAGGAATATTGTGTTGCTCGGACGACCCTTGGATCTCCTCGGACTGTTGAACGTCGTCATCGGGGGTCACGACAATCGCCGCCAGTGTTGAGGATATTGAACTCAGAAGGTGGACAAAGCCACGCCTTGTCTGAAACTGTTTAGCGACGTTAGGTGCACTGGTAACCGTCTCACCCATGGCTAAGATGACCTTCCTCATGGCCTGCATACGGCGGACGTCAGAGATAATACTGTCTTTGTCGTCCTCCTTCACCTTAGCTGAACCGAAGTAAGTGCCACTGAGGGATACGACGATTGAAATTGGGCAAGCGGACAAAACACTTCTCCCAACTGATGACGACGTCCCACTGACCACAGGAGGAGTAGAGGCAGCAGTAGTCAAGGCAAGCTGGTCAAGACGTCGCGAAGGAGGAAGACGATTGACCAAATCCACCTCTCAGTGCTTCAACTTCCCCCAATAGCGCTTTCGTAGCACCTCATCCATAAACAGGGAGGACTCAACACCTACAAACGACAAAACACGAGGAAATCCCATAACCAAAATGTAAGGATCAAGCCGACTAAAACCCTAACCTTAGAAGGAGGAAAAGGGGGGGGGGGGGGAGAAGAGAGAAAGAGTAAGGGGGATAATACAAGCACTTACCATCAACAATGGTGTAGAAGACCGCCATCGCCCCCACCCCCACCACCCTCCCCCCCCCCCCCCCCCCCGCCGCCTCCAGGAGGAGCCCCACGTCGGACAACAGCGCCTCAGAGTAGTCCTCAGGGGTTACTTGGATGTTCTTCAGGAGGTCAGTGATATCTTGGTTGTGCGGAAACAGTTTGGGAGTAATGTCGGCAAAGGAGTTAGAAACATACCGTCCACTACCCGCCAAACCGTGATTCACCCACATCCACTTATCTTGCCAGTTCTTCGGGGTCCTTCCATCAGGAACCAGGGTGTGCCCTCCTCGCCGGACGGAAAAGGTGCACTTCTCACCAATGCAGCAGAACCTAAAGAAGTACTTGAAGATGAAGTAGTTGGGGAGAATGTGATTGGCACGACAGATCATCTCAAATGACACTACCTTATTCACGGCGTTGGGAGTCAGCATCTGGATACTGCAACAGTCTTTCTGCAGGACCTCCTCCTGGAAATCGGTGAGGGGGAGGCGTAGTCTGGCGTTAAGGGTCTTCAGATAGACCCGCACCTTTCCAGGAGGAGGAGACATAATAGATGAACCAGGTGATGGGAAATCGACCCCATCCGCTGAAGAGAGGCCATACGTCTCCGCCAGGAACTTGTATTCAGCTTCAGTAGGAAGGGTTCCATAGGGATCAACCATGGAAGAGAAGAGGAAAAAGAACCCTAGAAGAAAGAAGAAAAGAAGAGAGGAAACGTGAAGAAAAAGGAAAGAACGATGATAAGCGTTCTTATATAAGAAAGGAAAAGGTGGGATATTTAAAATCCATGAAAAAATGACATAACCGCTAGCCATGATGAGCGGTCACATCATCATTAAAAAGCGGAACAATTGGCAAACAAAAAACAGACATGTATAGAGCAATTAAGTCTAGAACATTGCAGCTAGCGCAACAACGCTACATCTACCGGACTGGGGGACTTGATATCGTGCCCTAGCCAGCACGAAAGAGTCGCACCCAGCTTAGAAGGCTAGCACACCTGACAGACCAGGCTCGGCGGTCTTAGCGCCCGCCAGCGCCCCTAAGGGAAAAGCACTCTGGCAAAAGGATAAGTGCCTGCTAGAGGTGTCATAGAAAGAGGCTCACGCCCGCCATTGACGCCCTCAACTCCAAGACAAATGATATGGTCAGGTGACAAAGCAAGGGATCAGAGCATTACCGGCAAGACCAATGGCAATGCTCTGACAGATAGAGGAGCACGATCCTCTAATCAGCGCCTCGGATCCTGTTGGCCCAAGCAATCCTGTCTTGTACAAACGAGCAAGATCGTTGAGTATAAAAAGGAACACTCACTACCCCGACAGGTAAGTCGTCTTCCCCAAGCAACACCCAAATACACTCACAAAACCCTACTGACTTGACCGTCGGAGCATCTTTCTGGGAGCCTCCTCCCAGGAAACGGTTGACGGCCTCCCTTCTCTGGGATCTTGTCGGAGCAGCTGAGGAACTGTTGCCAGAATCTAGTGAGAACGAGAGCAAGGTCGCATCAGACTGTGATCCCGACAAGATCCGTCGTCCTTATTGGTGAGTCGTGTTCCTCGTTGTGTCAGGCCCACCGATTGGTCTAGACGATAATGCTCTGGATGTGCTCCTTGTCGCCTAGAGTCGTTATCCTTGGACTGTAGTGGAGGACGACCTTTGGCAAGGGAGAGCATTCTGCACGGTCGTCCTGCTAGAACACCCGACAACTAGGAGCGTCTAGTTGTTGGGGCGGTCGAGTCGGACCTGGCTGGACCCTGGAGAGGACGCCTTGCCGAAGGCTTGCTTATTTATGGCCCGCTCTGAAGGACGTGCCATCATTTATATATAAAATTCTAATGTAAATAAATATTTGATAGTATTTTTGTCAGGTAAATTTAAAGTATCAAATGAATGAAATTATTATTTGTAATAAATATCGAGACAAACAAGCATATTATGACGTCGAAAGATTTAAAAGCACGATAAGTATTTTTTGCAGATTTATTATTATTACTAGACGAATTCCCGCACGTTGCGCAGCGAAGATTAAAAATATATTGTTAAAATATTGAAAAATATATGTTTAAAATGGTTATGTTATTGACATTAACTTAATTTGAGATATTATTTTTACACTAATATATATATATATATATATATATATATATATATATATATATATATATATATATATATATATATATATATATATATATATATATATGGTAAAGTGAATATACCTAACAACCTTATATAAGCTTAGGTACCTAACCACATTATACTACATGGTTTTGCATTATATTTCCGTTGGAATCATCTAAGGTTCTTAAACTTCAACCCTTAACTTGATTTACTTTCAAGATTTTCAGATATTCACCATTATATTCTTGCTACACCATTTGATTTGTAACAGTAGTATATGAAGCCCACCAGGGGGTCTCCGATAGAAATACGTCATTTGAAGGAAGATAATGGTGAAAGTCAAAAGATTTTTGAAGCAATCAAGTTATGAGGTTGAATTTTAAGAACTTTGAGTGATTACAATACAAATATGACACAAAATTACGTAGTATGATGTAGTTAGGTACCTAAGCTTATATAAGGTTGTTAGGTATATTCACTTTACCCATATATATATATATATATATATATATATATATATATATATATATATATATATATTCTACCTTATAAAAGAAATCTTACTATTTCTATAAATATAATCAATATAATAATAATATTTTTTTAAGACGTTCAAGTCTTTAAGCTTAAAGTACAACCAACTATTAATCTAATAATATAATAATAATATATATATATATATATATATATATATATATATATATATATATATATATATGATAATGCTAGGGATACAAGTATTAAAAACACATTTAAATTAGTATTTCCTTATTTTTAGGGATTGAATTAGTATTTTTATCAATTTTGACCTAACTTGTACTCCTAAAATATCTCTTCTCTGGTATCTGGTGCATTCGAAATCTGAAACATTTTTTTTCGACAATTCGTTTAAAATTTAAAAGCTCATTCAAATTGGAGTTCCCTAATTTTTTTTGCATAAAATATAGTTGACTGGAGACTAATTCAAATCTTTATCTCCTTTTCCTCCATGGAATCCACCACCACAATATTTTTTGGTTTTGACATTGCACTTTTTATTTTTGTGAAACCGATCGATAATGGTGCAAGTGTTCTTAGAAATATAACATGTTTCCGAATGAAACTAATTGCTTGAAAGAAACTATCATCAACGCCGATTTGGGCGGGCAAACGGCTAATATGTATGTGTGTGTGTGTGTGTGTATATATATATATATATAATCTCTATTATTTTGAACAATAATATTCATTGACATCAACCCACATTCCTCATTAATAGAATTAAATATAATTATCTATTTAATATTATTTTTAATAATAATTATTATTGATTAATTATATTTTACTCATGCGATCATTTTCTAATTTCAAGAATGATGTTTATTTAAAATACAATTTATTTATAGCTAAATGTAGTTTATAATTTGATGTTATTATCATTTAAAATTGTTATTCATTAGTTTTAAACCACTTATTATTAATAATAAGTTAAAAAAGACTTTTAAGAAACACTTAATATTATTATTAAAATGTGAAACATACACTAAATAATAAAGTGATAAGATAGATAATTTGCATTTCAAAATAGATTTGAATAGATAATATGACATATCCATGTAATTTGATTTTATTATTTATAATTATTGCTTATTAATTTTAAAACCACTTGTTATTATAAATAAGTGAAAGAAACTTTAAAAAAACACTTATTCTTATAATTAAAATGTTAAACATATACTAACATATAAAGTGATAAAATAGACAATTTACATTTTAAAAAAGGCTTACATGGATAATATAGATAATATACATATCCATGATTTTTAATTAATTATTGTTTTGAAGCAACATGAATATACAAACATGTATACAGTAGTTAAATATATACATATATATATATATATATATATATATATATATATATCATCTTCCATAACATATGATCGATAACATTAATATAATCTAATTTACATTAAAATTTCTACCACAACATACAATGGTATATTTAAAAGAATACTTAAATCCAGAAAATACAAAAAAGAATTAGTATATAAAAAACTTACAAATTAAAAACGTCAACATAATAGCATGGCTCAAAAAATTGTTCAAAGCCCTCAAACCAACATAAAAAACTTTAAACTTGTTTTCTTTGTGAATTTTGTATGTGATTTGTATTTGTGTGTCTACTCAAAAAGATTAACCTTTTATAGTAGAGTATCCATTAATTGTTTATGAAATATATTATATTAGTTCTAAAACCTTTGAATTGTTAATCATTATTAAGAGACTTTTGAGTGGTATTCATTAAAATAGAAGGTTTAAAATGCATGAGGTGTTTGCAAATTTTTATGGGGGTTTCAAATGCATGAGGTTCATGGAAAAATGCTAGTTTTATAAGTATGTATGATGTTGATATGATTGATTTCAAAATTTTTATTTAGTTTTAATTTATGATGTAAACTTTACTGTCAATACATGATTTGTATAGTGACCATCAATGTATAAATCTACCTAATAAATAAAAATAATTTTGACACATGTTTTCTTCTCTTTCATTTTAACACTTGTCATTTTTTAGATTTTTATTGAATTATTTAACATCCACTTGTCATTTTTATAGTTTTTTTTTTATTTTTTATTCAAATCTCAAATGCCACCTCATATTAATTAATTTTATAAATATATTCATTAATATACATAATTACTTTCTATTTTTGAATTCCTCTTTCTATTAATATATTAATTAATGTATATGTATATTAATGTAGATAGTACATTCCATTTGTCAATTCATATTAATTTAATTTTATTAGTATAGATTAATTAAGAACAAATTTTATAAATAGTACATGCGGTTTACCAAAATAGTACATGGATATGTATATTAATGTAGATAGTATATATATTATTCAATTAAATCCTAAAAACAAGTAATTGTATTCAATTTGACCATTTTACTTGGTCAACAGATCATCAAACTTTTAAAAACTACATTTTTGGTGTAGAATTCAAATTTTTTTACAAATTTGGTCCAAAATTTATGTGTTTGGCCAAGATTTTAAATTTTATAACAAATTTGGTCCAAAAATTTATCTTTTTGGCCCAAATTTCAGAATTTTGTTTTGAATTCATCCTACTTTAGTTTTTTTAAAACATTTTTCTCAAAAAAATGAATATATTTTTTCATTATAAAATCATATATATACAAAAAAACATATTTTCAAATAAAAAATCTTATATTTTCTATATAAAAGCTTTTTTTTTTTTTAAAAAAACTTTTCTATATACGAAATACCTATTTATAAAGTAGGTATTTATTAAATACATAAATATATACAAATCCGTTTTTATATGAACAAATATACAAACACGTATTTTACAAGAAAAATATACAAACATCTATTTTGTAAAAACATATTTATATGCACCCAAATAAGTGTTTGTATATATATTTTTTATAAAAACATATTTATATATTTTTTATAAGCGCCTATTTTATAATAAACATATTTGTATTCAAACACGTTTATATATAAAATATATACAAACACGTATTTTA